TGGAATCATTCAGAACATTCATCACATACATTAACACGTTAGCGAATAATCTTGTTTCCGGACGTACATTGTATGGGCCAGATCCCAAGGAATCTGTTTCGGCAAGGTGACTGGCTCGCTTGACCATCCACACAAAGACATGCCAGTCCGAAATTCACATCCTTTCACTCTTCACTTCTTTTCGATTCGCAGGGCCAGGGCTAGCCGCCCCCGGCCCGCCTGACAACCCTGCTGCTCCCCACTCACTTGGAAGGCGACACCACCTCGAAGCAGAAGCGCCTCTCATTGTCAGGGCAGGGCTTGACTGTGCACAGCCGCAGGTCCTCCACCACCACTGTCACGGGATCCTGTCGACAGCAAGGGCAGTGCAATGTGGGCTACAGTCCAGCACTCTTCCAACACAACCTCCAAGCAGCCGAGGACAGAGTATACAAGCATGGTGAGATACTGAGCCCAGTTCTGTTCCCTTCCCTTTGCCAAAAATGGGAGGACAGCGCCGCTCGGGAATGAGGCTGGAATACTTCCTGATCTCCGAATGCAAACTACAGGGCTCACAAGCAATGCAGTGCAGCCTGCTCATTGTTATCTGCATGGAGTACTAACACACAAGACATGATGGATGGATGGACTTATACCCTCATTCATTTATTTCCTTTTTTTTAATTATATAATGTTAGCATGCCCAAAGGGGTTGGGCAACCAGATGACCTTGGACCCCCTAGAGGTTTTTTTTCTCCTTACTAAGGAGTTTTTGGTTCCTCTCCTCCGTTGTCTTCTGGTCTTCTGTTCTGTACTGACACAATGCATGGTCACTTGTATTGTTAAGCGCCTTGAGGCAACCTTGTTGTGAAAGGCGCTATATAAAAAATAATTGAATTAAATTGAATTATTGCTCAGCATTCAGGTTGAGCCCTGTGGTTAAGACATTGTTGCTACTAGTTTGAGCTCTGTGATCCAGTGCAACAGCAAGTGTCTCTGTGATTGGTTTGCAGCCAAACTGGAGATCCCAGCCTGGGGATCCGTGTGTTAAAGTACAAATACCTGGTGATGATAAATTGTTTAAACACATAAAAAGGCCTGCCATGCACATCCAGGTAACACTAAATGAACTTTGGCAATAACTGATTTAATTCAATCATTACAAGCTCAGAGGGAAATTTGAAATGAAGGTATGTAAAAAAGCATCCTCTTGTTGTAGTAGTGTACCATCGTAATGGTTTTGCAGTACAGGAGGAAATCATGCATTCCTGGGCCTCCAGAGTCTTGAGAGCATCAGTATTAGATATCACCCTAAGTAAAGTATATCTATAGATTGTGGAAAATGTGTAGGGAATGTGTCATTCATTCATTAACTTATGCAATGTGTAATCCTTGAGATATGAATTGTGCTCAGATATTCCAAAAAATCTTCAATTTATTGAAGAAATCCACCCATCTTAACTGATCACAGACAAACTGTTCTTGTCCTTTTTTAAAACGCAGGATTTGATGGTTGAAGGGGTGCCTGTAAAACCAGCTGCAGACACCAGAGTTATCCTCACTGTAGCATTTTACATTAGCATTTCAGGTGTGGACCTAGAGCCAGCCTCACCTTCAGCTTCTTCTGGTAAACCAGCTGATTGTTCTGGATGGAAAACCAACGTCTGGGAAGGGAAGACAAATCATTCAAGGAAGCAGGAAGAGGGGAGAGGAAGTGGGTTAAATTAATATTAGATCAACTGAACCGAATGCAAAGCGCTTTATCGCCATGACAGATGAATTACAGCATTGCAAAGCAATAACATTCAGCAACATATTTACAACACTCAAATACTATTTGTTGGGAGGCTGCCTGTGTCCAATTTCTATGTCCAGACTGTGGTCAATGAGCCTGACCTCTCTGGGCAGCCAGGTCTGTGTCCGGTTTCTATGTCCACACTGTGGTCAGTGAGCCTGTCGTCTCTAGGCAGCCAGGTCTGTCTGTCCAGTTTCTATCTTCAGATTGTGCTCACTGAACCTGACCTCTCTGGGCAGCCAGGTCAGTCTGCCTGTGTCCAGTTTCTATGTCCAGACTGTGGTCACTGAGCCTGACCTCTCTGGACAGCCAGATCAGTCTGCCTGTGTCCAGTTTCTATGTCCAGACTGTGGTCACTGAGCCTGACCTCTCTGGACAGCCAGGTCAGTCTGCCCGTGTCCAGTTTCCATGGCCGGGCTGTGGTCTCAGTAATAAACTGCGATTTTCTTTGGCTACACTGCAGCTGATCTGTCACGCCAATATAGCAGTTAGAGTGGAACTTGACAGAAAGGGGAGGAAGAAGAGGAGTGAGAAAGAGCAAGAAGCCGGAGGAGCAGGTGGGGGGGGTTGGGCTCACCGACTCCAGGTCTTGAAGGCGTTGCTGGCTCTCTTGTACAGGTAGCCCTCCATCGCGATGCCGTTGAGGCTGTCGCCCGTGAACTCCATCATGGAGTCGTCGTACGAGATGTCCTGCAGACGAGACAGCAGAGGTCTCAGGACCACGCAGGAAGCACGCTCAAGGTGCGAGCGCTCATCCATAAGTGCTGACATTCCAGCTTTCTGTTTCCCTCTGTGGTCTGACTGCTCTCTGTGTAAGCAAAGGCCTGTGGCAGAGGCCAGTTCCCCTGCTTCCTCTTCCTGTGCCAGTTACCTTGTTCTTGATGGTGGTGTGACGCTGCTCCATGTCTCTCTTTTCCCGGGCTGAGTTCAGGACCAGTTGAGTGTGCTGAGAGAGACACAGGGGTGAGGGAAGGTGAGGGATTTTCATTCATTAGGTGGTAGATGTGTTCAAGGCAACACTTTACACATACAGAGATACACCGTAGTGAAGGTACCAACTTTCCGTCTCTCCTAATCTCGGTCAAGGCTTAAAGACTCCACTCTCGTCCCTCCTTAGGAAGCTCTCTCCTGATTTCACTCAAGACGGCATTCTGATCTCTCCTCTCTCTCTGTCTCTCCCCATCACTGCTCTAACTCTGCGGGAGGGGTGCAGCACTGGGAGGAATCACAGCATTCCTCCTCTGTACACACGGATGCTCACTCCAGAGCCCATGGAGAGAACTGAGGGGATGGGCGGGGAGGTAGTTGAGCGCAGAAAAGCACAGAGGATTCCAAACCTGCATGAGTTTAACTGCAGGATTGTGGAATTTACACCCAATACAGCAATCCTGCACCCATAATGTGTTTGGCCCTTACTGTACCGTTTCTCCACTTGTAACTATTAAGGTATCAGCAAAATAGTATTAAGCAAGACCACTGTACCTCTACTGCTGCTAATAATGCTACTGCAGCTACAATTGCACCTACTGTTGTTAGTATTACTGCAACTACCACTGTTGCCAGTACTACTGGTACTGCTGCTTCTACTGTGACAGCTGTTATCGCTATTGCTCTAATGCAGCTATTACTGTTAAGTCTGTTACTGCTGCTGTTAATAAACCACTATCGCTACACTTCACAATCATAAGAATGGCTGCAGCCACACGCATAATAAAATAATATTAATAGGTACAGGACCTAGCAGTTGCTATTTCCTGTCTGTCATTTGCTCACACAGGAAATAAAGGCAAGTTGAGCCATTTCCTGGAGATGAGAGGAAGCTCAGAGGAGCAGTAAGAGGTGTCAGGCTAGGGACAGAGAAACTGCCTCTCTGTCCAGCCCCTCGTCTCCCAGGTAACAGGCCCGTTCCCTGGGACAGCTTGGGACTGCAGAGCCTGTACAGCTGCATCTCTGTATCTCTCATGAAGACCAGAGAAGCAATGCAGCTCTCGACAAATGCCAGATCACAGGTGCTCTAGGAAAGTCCCTCAGGGGCACATGGTCTGGCAAGCTGGGCACGCCCATACTGACTCAAACGCACCTGGCCCTGGTGGCGCACAGATGGTTGGGTGCCATTAGATGCAGGGAATGCCAGTCACAGTGGAGCTCATGACAGAGCCTAGACTGCAACCCAGCATCTCTGCACCATCTGGGCCATGGGGATCAACCAGCACCCCTGCCACACTGTCCCTGTACAAAACCTTAACTTGAGCAACGCTGCCAGGACCTGTTGCTCAATCACTGCTGAAATGCTTGCTGCCGCTGTGTCACAGGAGCAGAGGAGCTCAGAATTTTGCCCTGTTCAGGCAGACTGATATCTGAGAACAGGGACAGATCTGAGAGAGACCCCATGCTTGTAAAAATGTGGTAAAAACTGTTCACAGATTTTATGCCGCACAATAAACTGTCTGTCCCTCACTGCCTCTTTTTCTCTTTCACCCAGTCCTCACCTCCCTCTCGCTCTTTGTCCTGCTCGGACTCTTCCTCCCACTCGCTACAGGTCTTTCTACCCCTCCTACATTTCCTCCTTCCCTTCTGCCCTCCCTGCTCTCCCTCTCTTTCTTCCCATCTCTCCACGGGTGGCGGTGTGGCACAGCGGATAAGGATCTGCACTCTGCGGGGTTGTGGGTTCAATTCCCAGGTCTTGTTCCATTACACAAGGTTCTGTACCCAGATGGCACTTGCACAAATTAGTGCCCGTGTTTGGGTGTGAATAAAATTGGAAATTATAACTTTAGTAAGCTGCTTTGGATAGAAGCGTCACCCAACCAAAACGAGTAATGGTATTTCAGAGTAATCTCTCTCTCCATTCTCTTTCTCTTCTTCCTGCCCCACCCCTGCTCTCTCTCTCTCTCTGTCTCTCTCTCTCTGTCTCTCTCTCTCTCTGTCTCTCTCTCTCCTGTGAGCACTCACATCCTGTTTTTTGGCCACACTGCTGGACAGTGTCTTTCTGAACTGCTCAGCTCTTCGCTGAACTTCACGCACACACAGGCCTGCACGTCCACACACACACGAGACAGTACGAGTGTAGGTAC